CAATTGAGTAAAAACAAGAATCTTATGCAGAGTTGTGAGAATAATTGGACATAATATGCAGTTTCTCTCCACTCTCGCTGAGGTCTCTCCTTTTCCTCCTCTCCTACTCAGACTCACAGCCTGGAACTGAACCCAGCACACTGCAAAGGTAACAAATAACCAGCTGCCAACCATTCTGTTTTCAAACATCTTATAAATAGGTATTATTGACCAATGTATGTGGAAGTAATTTTATTTGCATTTCCTACAGTCTTCTCATTTGTTTGGTATCACATTTGATGGTATATACACTTCAAACCAACTTACTCTCATTATTCCTACTGTTCTTTGTTTTATATCCCTCACGTGTGGACTGTGAAACGTAGTGAAAACACAAAGAACAGCAAATGGTGCATTCCAGAGAGGTCAATCACATCACAAATACCCTTGAAGAACAGATGGTCCAATTGCAAACCTCCCGAATCTTGACATCTGTGTGGCAGGCAACTGTACAAGTCAGATGGATAGAGCTTTTAAAGTTTACATAGTCTATCAAAACCAAGTAATTTCTAAAACTGTCCTTTACTAACAAAATATATGGAAATTGTTCTTGTTAAAAGCAGGGACTCTAAGGCTATGTGGATAATGTAATAAATATCCTCTGTAGTCTACTAAAATACCAAAGTCTCAGATTTGCCAGTTAATAACTGCATATTTCTAGAAAATAATTTCTCTGAGTTTTAGTTTTGTCATCTCCAAAATGTGGATTAAAAATACTTGACTCATAGTTTCTCCAATTATTAGAACCTTAGTGTGCACTAGTGTATTACAGTAACAGATATGTAAATACACCACAAAGACATACAACAAACACGACCTATTATTATAGATCCTCTCGCTTGATCTCATGGTTCAGTTTATTATGAAGAGAGAATTGTTAACCTCCTTGATGAAATGAATGATGTAAGTTTATACAGAAGAACTTTTATAAACTGAAATCCTAATTAACACAAACTGTCAATTAAAAAGTTTTTGTCATTTTGCTTGTAGGAAAAGCATAAAAATATAATAAAATGAACTTATTAAAAAAACCCTTCGGTTATATCTTTATATCCAGCTAAATCTCTTATTAAATATTCAGAACTATTCAGTTATCCTGAGTATTTAGATGGTAGACCCTGAAAAGCACAATCAATGCAACATTGTTTACTTTGCATATTGAAAGTATATTAATTATCAGAGGCTTGTGACAATAGAGAAAAAAGAATTTGTTGACTTTCCAATTCACCAAGAATATGCATTGATGTTCTGGATAAGATATATTTCAATTTAGCTGAGAATCTAAAGTTTTATTTTGTACGAAGATGTATCAATTATCACTTTATTGACTTTCAGCTTCAAATTCACCGTTCAGTACTTGCTCAGTGATAATGAATTGGACTCTTAATAAGTTATTTTTCCTTTTCAGTGAGCACGATGTCAAGAGGTGCTGAGGGGATGTTGCAGGGTAAGGTGGCTTCTCTTCCTGGCTTCAGTTGCTGTGTTTTGCTTTCTCGTGCTCCTCCTGCACGGTCCACCAATGGTGCACGCATGGAAGGACATACAGTGGTGCTCTGGCCCAGCTGTGTGTCCAGAATGAGCGATCCCTCAGTGACTTCACGTCACTGACCTGGCCTGGTGACCACCTGGCTACAGCTCTTTTGACCTGGATACTGTGTGTTCAAGGCCTTGTGCAGGCAGCAATACCTCAACTTTTGTGCAAATGCTCATCAACCTTGGCTTAACTCCATCCCAGAGGGTTGTTTCCTCCTTGCCCAGCAACGGAGGACCAGCTCTGGCCTCAGCAACCCAGCAAACTTCTCTGCCATCTAGCAGAATGCAAGCACACTCTTGCCAACCACATCTGAACCTCAGCCTTGAGGAGGGGATCCCCCCTTCCAAGTGTGTCCTTCCTTAGCTACTTTCTCTCAGCCCTAGGTTACCCTCTAGAGTTCTCTTTACATTTTCGTATCTACTCTCTTATCACAGTTTAATAATTCTTTATATTAAACTTCTGTTTAAATTACTGTGCGGTTTTGTCTCCTGATTGGACCAAACTGATATCACAGGAATAATCAAACACATTTTTTTCTAAGCCCTAATTTATTATCTAAGCCGTGGTGGTGCAATGGTTAACTGAAAACCTGGCAGTTCGCCTACCAGCCACTCTGAGGGAGTAAAGACCTGACGATCTGCTCCCATAAAGATTACAGCCTAGGAAACCCTATGGGGCAGTCTACTCTATCCTATAGGGTCGCGGTGAGTTGAAATAGACTCGACGGCACAGAACAAATGACAATTTATTATCTGTTATACTGTTAAAGATCATGTAGAATTTCTTGGATATTCAGTCATAACCAAACCGATCAGATTCCAAATTATTTTTTCATCTTTATGTTCTAAATTGTCACCTGATTTATTTCTATCTTTTCTCAGGGCAGAAGTACTGGGTTCACGTCAGTGCCTCTCAACTGGCTAATTAAGTTGATTTTCATTCAAACAATTTATACTGGTACCAGAAAAGTTACTAAGCAGTAGTATATGACTTAGCAGAGCAAAACGGTTTCAGTCGAAAAAGCCAGAATTAATTTAACTTACATTTCTAATACTCGAGAAGCTCCATGGATTCTTTTGCTCTCCATTTCTTTGAACTAAGGAGGCCTGAGATTGTCAGGGTTCTTAAGCAAACGGAGGAAGAAAGCTTCTGGGGTCAGATGACATTAATACGGGGTCATCAAAACAAATCCATTTATGCTCCCCAAAACTAATACTGGTATGATAAATTCAGTTTACCTTCCTATTTACCAAGGGAACAGTCTGGCATGTTAGTGATACACCAGGGGAAAAAAAAATCAAGACACACCTTAAGATAGTACTATTAAAATATTTTAGACAAAAAAAAAAAATGGTGTCTTTGAATAAGTTAGAATAGCACGAGCTGTGTATGCCTTACAAGCAAAACAAAGGGAAAAAGAAGAAAAACAAACCTGGGTATATTTAAACTAGGGAGCAAAGGTGACAGTTTAGAACATAAAGATGAAGAAATAATTTGGAATCTAATTTTGAAACAGGAACTTTGTCCTTTGAAATATGGATGCATATGAGACAATGGCACGCAATGCCTGGCAGGGAAGTAGTTTTCCTTGGGAACTATATTTGCCTGCAGAGAAACTGAAAAATCACACTCTCTGTGAATTTTAAATTGCTTTATTTTTCTGAGGTCAGTGGTTTTCTAACATGGAAATGTTTTATTCTTCTACACTAAGCCAACAGCTCCAAGCTTTATTGTGTGTGATTACACAGTTACAACAACAGGGAAGAAAACTGCCTCCTTGGCAAATTTTCATTTAACAGGGCTCCCCCAGTTAAATGAAATAAACTCACCTTATTTTCCCCAACTCTGTGTTCAAGGTGTAGAAGCCACACCTCTCTTAATCTTGCCACCTACTCCGGCAGCTTCTAAGTCATTGAATAAAGAGTAAAATTCAATAATATAATACAAATGGTTTATTCTAAATTTTCTTCATAAAATGAACAGTTCAATCAGATTCTTACATTAAATTAATATGCATATCTCCGTAGTGTGATAAACATACGGGTCAATATTTACTTTTGGAAGGAAAAGGGATTCTTCCACAAACTTTTGGGGTTGGTGCTTACTGAGTTAAATACTCACTTCACATTCATATGTACAACATAAAACTTTTTATCAGTCTGAGATTGCTGTTAGGTAGCCATGTGTCCTAGCCCCTTTCCTCTTTTAAATTTAAATACTGCAAAGGAACCATTTTCCCTATAAGGCTCCCACACTTGGGATGGAACCTTCTCTGTGGAATGCTGACACCCTATTAATTAGTGGTTATGAGTGGGAGCTGCTCTCTCTCAGCAACTCCTATTCTGCCATCAGTCAAGTGTGATTCTGTAATAAATTTCCACAAAGCAAACTATTTCTGGTAATTCTCCCTAATTAACACCAGGCCTGCTAATAATACATCAGTACCTATGTGTTTCTGATATAACCAAGATCTTGTTTGAGAGTACCCAAAAAGGGAAACCGCCAACCTAAGTTAAGCTTTTCCTGGCAAAAAGGATTTTGTATGTAGTTCTGTAAGAAAACCTTTGATAATCTTATATTGGAGACATTGTGACCAGAAAACACTGAGCAACAGGGAGGCTTGTTCTGGTGTGAGCCCTGAATGGGGATTTATTTTGAACACACACTGTTGAGTCTTAAGCCTATAAATCTTGTACTGGATTACTGTTCCTTAACGAAGGAATGACAGATCTCTTATTTTGTCGGTGCATTTTAATGTGCAATGACGTGATTGATACAAACCAAACAGCAGCTATTAAAATGTCAGATGCAGGCTTGATGCCCTTAAAAGTTTGGCTTCTGGAGTTTAATATACTGTGAGCAAATAGACTTGAATTTGTCTTTTATTCCTAATATACAGCCTGCAACAGAAACACTCCTCTTTAATTTACACAGATGGGAAAAAAATCTTACTAAAACCAATAAACAAATGAGGAAGAGGTGAGCCTACCTAGTTATGGAATAGTTAGCTAATGAGATTGGGATGAGTTAAGCATGAAGTAACTTACCTTGGTTACAAAGGTAACCAAGGCAAAATGTAGATTATGAGTTATGTTGTTTGCATATAATACTTAATATGATAGATAATTCCAATAATCTGAGCAATTTAAAAAAAAATTTTACCTACTTATTCATAAATATTTATTGTGTATATTCTACATATAGAGCATAAAAATGAATAAAAGTAGAATAAATGTGACAGTATTTTCAAATGCTTTGTTTCTTGGACATTTTGATAGGCCAATATCATAAAAGAGGGTTTCTTCTGAAAATCAAACATCTCATCCTATCCTGTGAATACAGAACACGGCCTTCTCATGGTGATTTTTAACGGAAACATTTCCCACCCACAAAGAAAAACCAGGAGAGCTTGTCTACATCACTGTGGTCATTTATTTATTAGGTGCACATTAAGTATTACTTTACTGATTATATTTCTCTTGTGGTTTTTTAATTAGAAAATGTATCCAAAAGCAAAACAGCAGAGATATATACAAATTCAAAAATTTAAAGAAATTAGAGTTTAACAGATAAGGCAAACGATACATTGAGAATCCAAATCTAATACCTTTAAACATTTGGGGAGATAAGTGGGAGTGGGACACACTGAGGCCAGATTAGATTTGTGTAAAATTATTCAGTATATTTTTCCTTATGTCTGAAAAGTCTCTCCCTTCAGTAGGGATGACTAAACTGCAAATGTCTCAGAAATGTTAATACAATGCCAAATTTACACTTGAACAGGGAAAAGGAAGAATTCTTTCCTATAAAGGTGGTTCTAATACAGTACCCTTTGAAATGGTACCATGAATACATTTTTACTATAGGTAATTTTAACACAACACTGCATTAATATTTAAAAAATTTAAACTCTATTTGTTTTAATACTGTGACTATCCCAAATGATTAGGTTTTAGTCTTAGATTTTAAATGTAATCTGAATTCATACAACACATTTGCTACCATAAACATAAGCAGTGGGGAATTTTAGGTTGCTACTTCAGGGGGCAACATTCGATCCATGTAAGTCTAGGCAATTTTTATAAATCTGAACCTATCACTAAAATTCTGAAATTGGGAAATTCAAGTAGGGGAAATTTTAGAGTGATGTACTATGATTTTAATGTGTGTTGTATCAAGTACAGCATTCCAAAATATACATCTAGACAGACTAACAGTGAATGCTCTACAGTGAAGAAGTAATAATAAAAAACACTACTGACATGGAATATTTATATTCCGAACAATAAATATTCAGGGAGCTCACCAGAAGAATAAAGTGCTCTGCCAGTTATTAAAAGATTAACGCTGGTGTATAAAATATGGCATTCCCCACTGGAAAATACAAACATTCTTCTGGGATATGTTCAATATTTATTTCACAGATTAACTGCTTTAAGAACAAATATAAAGCTTTGCCAGAGAAGAGGGAGGCAAAGCACAAAGACAAAATCATTAGGAAGCATCATTAACGTTTTAGGGATAAAATTTAGAGAAATGCAAAATTATGCTCCATGAATAATATGCAGAAAGAAAGGTCTAATGAAAATGAAATCCTTAATGTAAGAAATCTAGGTCAAATTCTTTGGGAAAAATAGCCCCATGCCATTGATTTATTAAATACTATCTTGGCATAAAATCTATTAAGGCAAAACTAAACAAAAAAATCTCTACCACACCAAAAAACCACCAACTTATTCTGTGTTGTATCAAGTAAAAGTCTGACATTAAGATACGTGACAATGTACATCAGCCAGCATGTCTTCTATAGGTGATTTCAGCAGCAACAAGAAATAATGCACAATCAGTTCCAGTATGTTATTTCGAAAGAAACTTCCTGCCTCCCCACAAGATGCAGGGTGAGGAGGCACTTTTGGGTTGTTATTGGTGGAGCACTCAGTTTGCCACTTTGTGTCCCTCTTCCTATTCTTTTGTCCCCAGTTAATTATTATCTGAATATGATATAAATCCGCTAGACCACAAATTAACAGCTTTCAGGACAGATGCCTTGAAAGTTCTTAGGGAGGTTAAACAAATATGGTCACCTAAAACCTCCCTCACTAACAAACACGCGCACAATAGAAGTGAAGTTGTCAGTGAGTGACGGGGCAGGAAGGACTTTGGGCTCTGTCTCAACTTTAAAAGCTTGCTACCCCAAACAGATTTATATCATGATTTAGTGGGATCATGGCTTTTCATTCACTTTAGAAACAAAGAGAAAAATTATCAAATACATAATTTTTTTCCCTCACTGGGCAAATATCAACCGGATCCATTATTTTACCACAGTTATTTCTCTAACCCCACGTGGTACCTACATAATTCTGTCCCCAAATTAGGAAAACAAATAATGGGCCAATCTGAGTAATTAATCACATTTCCGTTCTACACTACCAAACCTCTGTGAATAAAAGCTTTCCAAACTTCATGATTACATTGAAGTAGTTCACTTATTATTGAGAACTACAAAAAAAAAAAAAAAAAAATCTAGATTTTTATCACATGTCCAAATCAATCTTCTGGTTATTCTTCTAATTAGAATTAAAGGAAAAGAAAATTATTCTGCAAAGAGAGCTCTCAAACCTTCGCTGGTCAGTAGTAGACCTTTGAAACTGATCTAATTGATTCATTGTCTAAAAAAGGGGAAATTTTTATTTTTTAGTACAATCCTCTGATTTACCATAAATTCCCAACCACATTCTTTTCTACTTATTCTCTTTAAAGAGAGAGAAAACTAAATTTCAGAGCACAAAGTTATTTAATTGGCACTTTATCTCAGCATAAGAGGAAAAAATGGAGTTTGAATAATTAGGTGATGAAACATACACAATGAATAGAAACACTCAAAGTCTAATAAAAGACAAAACTATGAGATTGATAAGCTATATGGTAGCTTCTAGGGGGATGGAAGAAAAATATAACATCTAAATATGATATTTTGATTAAAAAAATTCATTGGAAAAAAGTCTCAGTCTCTCCTACTGGAATGATCAACTGTAAGGAAAGAAAAAGTAGACATAGTTTTTAAAAAATTAACACCTACTATTGATAAAATTCGGTTTAAACTCCTATTTAGTGTTTTAAAGATAAACATGTATTTACTTAGTTTTTAATACAATGATTCTCTTATTGAAAAAGTATAAGGCATTTTCATTGCCTTTTACAGATTTACGTAAAACAAGAAAGCATAATTATTTCAGCACAGAGGCTGAAATTTTTATTCTAAAATTTAATTCTTCACTAATTTATTCTAAGAGGAATTTAATAGTCAACCAGGAAATTGGTTTTTATAAAAGCTATTTTATAGGCAGAAAATACAGGGAAAAAAAGTAATAATAAATGCCAAACTGTCTTTTTACTTTATGAAGCCAAATATTTCCTCATAGACTTGGTTTTTAAAGCTGGAACCTATCCCTTCAGGGCCACTATTATTTTTCAAAACTCCATATAATTAGCACATCTAAAAATTAATTGATAATTTTAATTCTCTTTCTCATCAAATTTCTTCTCTTCTCCTGAACTGTCGACTTTTAAAAATTCACAGAATGAGCATGTTTCTTGCAAAGTGGCTTGTCCTTTTTGGAGAAAAAGGTCTGACCTTCCAAACTTTCACAACACACCTGAAACAGAAGCATTATTTAAGAGAATATCATCATTTTATCAAGTATGCCTAAGAAGGGGAAGGTGATTGTTCTCCCAGTGGGTAATATGGCAAAGCACTTTAGTTGGCTTATGTTAGACACCCTCGTATTTCATGACTTCTATGACATTTCAGGTAATCTTTCAAAAGCAATTAAGAATGACTTTTTCCTGGAATATATTCTAATTTGTTTAAATCACTAATTGTTATTTTTCCTTTATTGGAAGGAAAGCACTTAACCCTAATGAAAAAAGTAATACGTAAAGAGGTCACATTAAATTTACTTTTTCTCCCTAAATTCTAATCAATACTTTAAATCTGCTTCCTGTTGTGGAGAACCAAAGTACTTAAACCAAAAACTCAACTCAATTGCTTTGCCAAACTTTCTCAAGCCCAGCTTTAGCCTGCCTCCAAATACGCAGGACTAGGGTACCTGGTACTTCTTTTCAATTTGTTTATCTCTTACAGTGAAAACTCTGGTCAACACCTGGCTGCTGGATTTTTAAACAGTAAGTTAACTATGCACATTTATGCCTTCTTCTTGTCTTTCCTACTGTCTTTGTTAATTATAATGCTCATAAGCAGATCTAACAGAGAACAGGAGAAGGAAAATCACCTCAAAGTAGTTGTTTATAGATTTTATGAAGTCTAAAGTATGGATGAGGCAAATAAGACAGGGTTCAAGAGTAATGTCTGGAGAAATCATTTGACTTCAATTAACATTACTTTTTTTTCCTACTATACAATGGGAATTGAGAATTGTTAGCTATATTAAATCTAATAAAAAAATCATGCATCTGAAGAAAGCACCTTTACTGTATATTTTCTAAATTAAAATAATAATTAAAAAAACCCTTAATGTTAATTTCTAAATCTATCCTTAGTATTAAAAACAAAGTAAAAAATATTAATAAAGTATCAAATGAAACAGGTAAATATTTTACATTTATGATCAGCTCAAAAAGAAAAGAACATTCATGGTCTATTGTTAATGACCATAAATATTCTTTTCTCTTCAATCTTATAATAAACACGCAGTAAAATATTTACCTATTCCATCATTAAGGAAGGAAATGGATCAACATACAGTTTACTCCCAGTGTTAATTCAACAATAGATATTTATAATTGTTTATTTCTACTTTAAGAGGTACCTAATGTTTCCTAAAACTGCTAACATTCCTTACATAATAAAACAGAGCTTAAAAAAGGGATCTTACTGTTTTAAGAAATATATATCTTCTCTTTATAGACAAAAGAGCATTAATAGTATTTTCTCTAAATGGGTAAGCATCTTTATATATCAAATAATCTTAAAAGGTGCCCAAATTTTTAATAAACAACTTTTAAAATCACTTTAAAAATGTATTTTTCTTAAGGTTTTAAGAACTGAATGATATAAACTGTTATTTCCATGAATTACTTAGGCTAGAACTGGCTGTGTTGTGCTCCTTTACTTAGAAACCAGAGTTTACTTACTGAGCATACAAAGCAAGTGTCATGCCAGGTATAACCCAGAGCTTCCAGAAACATGTCTCCAGCTTCTATGGGAAATTCACATCCACGGCATATGGTACCAAAGAGAGCATAATAATCTGTATTGGGAGGACAAAGGAGAAATATAACTTAAATACAACAGAGAGATTCATTTATCTACTCATTCACTCACTCAAATTCACTTAACAAACACCTGAAACATGCATGATTTAAACATAAGGCAGGCTTTTGTTTTCAACTCCTAACTTGGTGTATTTCTGAGTACTTAAGATCTTATATTGGTTTACTATGCTGGGATACAAAAGAACCTTCTCTTTTAAAGACAGCTTAAGGAAATATATATACATTTGAGGACCATAAACAATTAGCAGATGTAAACAAAAGCAATAGGTTTTTGAAATATTAGCAAAGCGTTCAAGCTCCTTTGCATTGTTAAATAAAGGAGAGAGGACCTAATCATTTAAAGAGATGTTATAGAAGTTTACATATCTGACTCCTTTACTAGACTGCAAGGTTCCTGAGAGCAGGTACAGTGACTTTCTTCATCTCTGTATTCCAAAAACTTAAAACAGCAGCTGCAAGTACTAGACTGCACGAAATAAATACCTGTTAAACTCAACTGAAAATACAAAAGTGGTGGAAATGTTTACTTGGCCCACACTCAGCACAGGGAAATTCCTTTATTGTATATGTGCCCATATATAGCTTTGCCTTTTCATATGTGTTTAGTTTCATATAAAAATATACTTTAGAATGACAGTTCTAGAAAGCAGCAACAAAATCCAGATTAAAGGAGATAATGTGAAAAATCTTGGTAAACTCCAAAGTCAAGTTTATTTCTATATGTAAGCAATAATATTAGTGTTTAAAATTGATGAAAATAAAGATGATAGTAATTAAAAATTGTAAGCAAATGGCATACCACAGCTTTAGATATGTTTAGCATGTTTCAAGTTTCTCTTCGTAAAATAATTTATGTGACTTAACATTTTTTATTATATTTTCCCATGTAATATTCTCACTTCTGTCCAGTTACTTAAATGCCCAAATACATATGAAGAAAAAATAACACTGTTCTCTGATAAGTTATCACTAGACATGACTATTCCAAAAACACACAAGAGGACTTCCAATAATTAGCAACAGTAAGACTAATTACCATAAATCAGGAATAAATGTCTGACATTGACTAATTTTGTAATGTATCTGACTTGGTGAGAAAAAAAGAGAAACGATACAGGAAACTTCCATGAATAAGTGTCATGACTGAGTTTTCAGTTGGACTGTATCACAACATTAGCCACAATTTCTTTTGCTGTATTTTTTTTTTCAATTTTATGACTTCATTGTAGAAATCCTTAGCCAGAACTTTACACAGATTGCAGTTATAAAACACTAACAGGATTTCCTTCTGAAGAAAGCACTTCTGACAAGATGTTTCTCTGCTATTACTAAATTAGAATATCAGCATTTTCTTTTATGCAGATACTCTCAGTATGGTGTTTACTCATGGTTCACTCTTTGGCCTTTGATATTTTTAATTTAAAATGTTGGAGAAGAAAGTAGGCCATCATTTGCAACTTGATTCACCTTTCTTAGCAATCTTCGGTATTCTGAGTTCCTTAGTACCATTTGCTCGATACACATCCATAGAGTCCTACTGCATTTCAGGCACTGTTCTAGGCACTGGGGTACAGTGATGAAGACAGATGTGGGTGCTCCATCTTGTGGCTTATATGCTCAGCGGAAACAGGATATCATCATTTATTAATATTTAAAAAAATAAATGACAATAAATAATTTCAGACTGTGATAAGTGCCATGAAGCAAAGAAAATAGTGAATTGATATATAGACTAATGGTGTGTATAAGAGAGAGTGTAAGTGTACCACATTATGTAGGAGGGTAATAGTTGTGATGAGACTTGAAGAGTACGAAATAACCACCAAAGAGAATCTGAGGAAGAACATCCCAGTTAAAAGAAACAAGAAGTATAAAAGCCCTGAGGAAGAAAAGATCCTGGCATGCTCAGAAACAGCAAAGAGGCGACTAGCTAGAACCAAGTACACAAGGTAAAGTGGCAGGCAGGTGATGAGGTTGGCAAAGCAGTGGTAAGGAGTATGGTATAGTTTTTACTTAGATACAAGTGGAAGCCATCGAAGGGTTTTAAACACAACCTGATTCACATGTTAAACATTACTGTAACTGCAGTGTAGCTACTATTTGAGATTAGGGGGAAAGAGAGATACCATTTAGTTGTCTATTACAATGTCCAGGCAAAGGGTAAGACTGAGTTAGATTTAGTGGTGGCAATTAAGATGGAGAGAAACGAATAAATTCAATATACGGAACTGCCAGGATTTACTAATGGGTTTGGATATGAGGAGAACTAAAGGAAGAGCAGAATCCAAATAGATCCCTAGGTTTTTGATTTGTGAACAGTGAGGTCATTTATTGAGAAGGGGAAAGACTGGGTTAAGAACAGGTTTGGTAGGTTAAAGAAAAACAAAACTAAGAACAGGCCAAGTGGATCAAAGCAACATTTAAATAAACCTTTGATAACATTATTCCCTTTCTGTAAGCAATTCTTTGAATTCTTAAAAGAAGGTTTTAAAGAATACGTTAAATATGATATTAAACCTGGATGGATGGTTTTACATGTGTTTTGGGTAGACCGGGATTATCTGAGTCAAAATGTCTTGCAAAGCTTCTAAAACAAAACAAAAAAACAATTCTTCAGAAAAATTAAGTGGAATTCCAAAATATGAAATAGTCTAGTTGAATCAGGGTAGGCAGCCTGCAGCCAACCTGTTCCAAAATGGCCCATGGGGCACTTCACAGGAATTTCTGAGACTTCCTGGTGGACAGTCTGGAATAGATAGTCCAGGTTAGTCCTATGGAGCCAAAAGTGAGGTGAAAATAGAATATTAAGTGGGCAAAGAAGAGTACAGTGATGCTGATTAGAAACTGACTGCTCCTTTAATTTGACTACCCTGCAATACTCCCTTCTTCAAACACCATACCTTGAACTTCAAGGCAGAACAGCAATAAAACTCAATCGTGGGGATGTAGTGGTAGTGAGTGCAGGCATGATAAGGGAAAGATGTTTTATTTTTTGCAACATGTATGCATAGTAGTAATATGTAAGTAAGAGCAATATTAATAAATGTTATGAAAGTGTGCTTACAGCCTTTGAAAAGGAAATGTAGTAAATAGGTCCTTAGAGCCTACTTTATTAACAACAACTTTACTAAGCAAGCAATCCAAGCCAAGACTACCCTCCCATTCAGTGACGGTAATAAAAGATTTGAAATTTATTTTCAAAGCAGTTGCCTTAAACAGCGAATCAATATCATATTCAAGAGTTGACTACCTTTCATGTTTATAACTACTCAAAATTCACTACTCAAGTGTAAGAGGTAGCTTTAAGGTACACAATTTGGTAGAATTTATATCCATGAATTATTGGGGATTCAAGCAAAAAATTTTTCCTACAAAGTCATGTTTACAGGTTCAAATCTTATAATGAAGTTGGGAGTATGTATTTTCACAGAGTCACATAAAAAGTTTACATAGTTTTTTGCCACATATTTAGAGTAACATTAAATGTCCCAAATACAATTAGGAAAACCACTCTGCCTACTATTTTTTTTCAACTTAACAGCAACATAAGGGTTAACATTTTACCTTTTTTCAAGCCTTAAGACTAATGGTTTCATGATCTTACCTGTCTCGCAGTAGGGTTCACCATCCTCCAAGTGAAAAACATTATTACGAATGGGTTTTCCACAAGCTACACACACAAAACAGGAAACATGCCAAGTTTGTTTCAAAGCATTGATGACTTCCTGGTACGGAAAGATAATTGGGTGTCAAAAAAGATAATAAATACACACATGCTCATTTTAATAGCTGTACTAACACCGACCTATAAAACTCACCCAAAGTAGACACACATGCTTTTTCTTTGCCTTGAGTTTTTCCTCTAAAGGACAGACTCACAAATCACCTAAATCAGTTCACTATGTATATTTTTCACAAACACACATCAATAATTTAAGGAATGATTACTATGTTATTTAAACATTATACACGTGGTGAATAAACCAAGCATTTCATAAATGCTTGCTGCAATATAATCTGCTTTCTTTCAAAGGGTGTCAGGAAACATTAATTTATAAAAGCTTCATAGTATCATCTTGGAAATGTCAAGGGAGGGGGGGAAGCATTTTAAAACTAAAACAAACCTATACTTTGGTGCATTATGGAAACAATAATGTAATCAGTGTAATCCAATCAGTTTTGCTCATGTTTAGGGTTTCGGAAATCAGCTGTGACCTGAGGACTAAGCGTGCACTCAAGTGTCTAAAATTTGAACCATAAAACACAGATTCCAGTCAATACTGTCCCTATGGCTAAACACATCAAGAATAACAGACTTGGGGCAGATAGTAATTAGTAAGTTTTGGGGAGTTGGTTTTGCAAGGAATTATTTCTCTGGATTTAGAGAAGAGTTAGAGCCATTAAAAACAGTATTTTTGAAGAATAGTCAATAAATGGGAATATATTCTTTCATAATATTTATTACAAAAAAACAGGATACTAGACACAAAATATGGTTACAATTTTGTAAATGAATTACTTACTGTTGTGGATTCTGTCCTCCCAAAATATGTATGGTACCTGTGGATGTGATCCCATTTGGAAATGGGGTTTTCTTTTGTTAGGTTAATCAGGTCATACCACAGTAGGCTGGGTACTAAATCTATCACTTCTGAGTTATAAAAGGAGCAGAACAGACACAGAGACACACACGGGGGAAGATGCCATATGAAGCAAGACACACAAGGCAGCGGCATATAGAAGCCCAGGAACTTCAAGGATTGCTGGCAGCTACTAGAAGCTGAAAAAGATAGAGAAGGACCTCCCTCTAGAGCCATACCCTGAATTCAGATTTCTAGCCTCCTAAAACTGTGAGAAAATCAATTTATGTTCTTTAAAGTCATCCACTTCTGTTTTTTGTTACGGCAGCACTAGGTAACTAAGACGAAGAGCAAACTGGACTGTCACTGTGTCACCTAGACCTGCTTTTTCTGTGGTATGCACAGTCTGTTTTTTTGTGGGAGACAGGCTCTGGGTGCCCTCCCTGGTGACGCCCCCATCTATGCAGAGCCCCTTCCCACTCCCACGTGGCCTGGCAAACTGAAGGCTCTCGGTGATTGTTCTCAGGAGTATGGTGAGCCCATGGAAAGGTACAAGTGCTAATCCTGCACAGAGTTGTCAAAGTTCATTTATTCAACACACGTTTACTGAGTTCCTACTATGCGCCAGGCCCCATGTTAAGTCCTGGGAGTACAATGCTTACCAAAACGAGCCTGATTCTCTCAGGGCACCTCACTAATGCTCCTCATTGTGCCCTGGAAAACTTCCAACCGCCAGGGTCTGTATCTCTGACTCTGAGGGTTCTTTCCAGAATTGCAGGGGGCTGAGCAGAAATACTGGGGAACTAATATATCCCCAGAAGCCCTCAGCCAATAGGACTGACGGGAAATGGTGTGTAAATTCCCTAGCTCCCTAGCCCCTTGGAGATATAATTCTGAGGCTTTAGAATCATACGCCCATTTTCCAGTTTCCTCATGGTAGTAAACCCCAATAGCCTACTGCGGTAGCTGGCATCATAGTATACCCTTCTTGACTGCCTTCCTTTTCTTGTGTCATTTCCCTACCCCCTTACCTGGAATTCCCAAATAAACTCTTTGCACTTAAAAAAAAAAAAGCAAACTGGAAAATTCATTTATAAAGTTAACAGTGATTATCTGAGGCTGGTAAATATACAAATATTTTAAATTTTATTCTTTATGTTTTTTCTATTTTCTAATTTTTCTAGAGTAAAAACATTTATAATAGCCAAGATAAAACAAAATTATATAAAATGAATTACTGGCATTAGAAAATGCCATAGTTTATTACTGAAGGACAATGACAAGAATTGGCAGTCATTTAGATGCAAAAAGATCACCATGGATATTTATAACAAAGTACATTGACCCAAATCCATTCTCCAAGGCTTCCAGCAAATACGTCCCTTTCCATCCTTGAGCCATATTACTATTTCTTCTTTAACAGGTCATCAAACCACTAAAACGCAACCCAGAGAGTCTATCGTTTTAGTGAAGTTCTGGTTCATCTCTGAAGCAATAAGATTTCTATTTCCTAGAAGCTTATTTGGTTCTAAGATTGACTCTTACTTGCTTTTATTATTTTTAAATTATTTATTATTAATCCACAGAACACATTTATACACTAAAACGGTATTCATTTACACTGTACTAATTATAATTAATTTTCACCATTTGGGGAGGTCCAGGCTGAATCACTCTACGTATAATACCAACTAATAATATAAAACATTTCAACTGCTATATTTATAATTTAAAGATCTTCAATGTTTTAGACTTATTTAAAGATGTACTCTATAATTAAGAATACGCAAATCATATTAACATTGTTTCAATTGATATGAATGAATATTTCATTATTATATTTTCATACTGACAGTATTAGAATTCAGAAATCCATTTCCAACTTTTAAATGAGGCCAGGCAACTTAGCTGCTTCTAAAATCAAATTCCAGCTCCTGGTCTCCCATAGGGGTAAGACTGATTCTTACTTTATAACTGCAAACTGGGTATTTCAGAGCAGGAAATTTATTCATTTGTAATTATTTATTATGTATCTGATTCCTAAATTACTCTTTCTGCAAAAAAAAAAAAAAAAAGAAAAAAAAAAGGAAGGTTTTGAAATTATTTTTCCACCACATGTGTACTCTCATAAAACTGAGGTTATATTTTTAAACATTATATATACTCAAGAAAAATACATCATTTATAAGTCTCACGTTTTATATATTCATGAGATCTGTGTCCTACACTTGAACCTTGACAAGTGGGGAAATGCTGCTCTTGAAAAGCTATGGAATTTAATTTAAAACAGTAAAGGTGTCAGTTCTGAGAACTCTGATGTGTGTGGTCCTGTGTGACCTCTGCATTACTGAGCAAACAGGGTCCTGCTGAAGTAACACACCCACAGTAAATTATTTTTTCCCCACAGTGGCCAGACTTTTTCACCAGACAATTCAGCACTCAGTAAGACAAAACCAAAGACAACCTAACCCCATGAGTCTGATATGCTTCTACAGGAGTCTATTTAGTTTTGCTTCAAAATAACAAAATAGTGACAAAAGCAGCGAGGGGAAAGAGCAAGAAGAAAAGAAAAACAGATGATGAAAGAATGTCATAACAAAAAGTTGTTTTATTTTAAAACTCACTCAAAATAAAAAGCCTTCCAATACTTACTCCAAGGATCTTCCTTTGGCACCGACCACATTCAGGAGCAAAGAATTTCTCGTAACATAGCTCACAATACAGAGCTCCCTTTTCTTCTACAAATCCAGTGTAAGCCATAGTATTTTTGCAGTGAGCACAGTTAAATTCTTCTGGGTGCCAAGATTTCCCCAGGGCCACTAGAAATGGTCCCCTGCCAGAAGAAAGGAGATAAATTTGGCTCAGGAATAAAAAGTTTGTTAAAGTTAGCCTGGATACGAAAAACAAACCAAACCTGATGCTGTCGAGTCAATTCTGACTCACAGCTACCCTACAGGACAGAGGAGAACTGCCCCACAGGGTTGTCAAGGAGCGGCTGGTGGATTCAAACTGCCGAACTTTTGGTTAGCAGCCAAGCTCTTAACCACTACGCCATCAGGGCTCCAAGCCTGGATAGGACCCCTTTTATGTAGCTTCTAATCAGTTAAAATACTTGCTTAATTCTCTTTCTCAAGGACTGAACACCTGGGTGCTCTAAGTTTGCATAAGGACTCTGCATTTATGTGAAGAGAAAATGGGAACAGAGTTAAGGGCATTTAAAGGACTCCTTCAAGAAAGGTTATTTTTTCCACCTTTTTTCTTTCCAGGGGATTTAGTTACCACCAAATGTTTTATTGAGCTGCAATGAGTGAATCTGTCCGTGTGATATTAGGATTGAGAATGAGGATGTTAGCTGTGACAGAAAGTGACTGTGACAAAAACTGAAGCAACCAGAAAAACGTGTATGGTTTAGTCAAGGATCGGAGTTTGACATTTCTATAAAATAAACAAGAAAAAAATCTACTTGGCTATGTCAGTCTTATAAACAGTAATAATTATTATCCGAGAAACTATTCTAGTCAATTTCTCTTCCCTACACATTATTTCATATACTTATTTCTCAACTCTATAAACATCAAATCCTCACCCTTCTTAAAATGACTATAGAAACTATAAACTAGATATTATGGATTGTTTAAAGTTACTTGGAAGGAGGTTTTACTTAATTCAAATACGACCAATCTTAAATGCACTTTGGTATCAAGGCAACAGATGTCTGTAGAGAGATTTTTCTCAATAAATACTATACAGTCATGAATTAATAAGATGCATTTGGTTTGCTTGACAGGAATCCACTATGAAGCCTCATCTAGTCATGAGGTCTGCAGAGATTAACCATTCTAGTCTCTGCAACCCACTTTCAGTAGCTATATCACACTAATTTTTATTCACAGAGTAGCTTTACCTCCAAGGCACTTTTATACTTATCTAATTTGTCCATGCAACATTCCTGTGAGATACACCAGGGCAGTTATTATGAGCTCTGTTTAACAGATGGAGATACAGTGTGTTCAAAAGATATGACCAAAATCATAAAATCACTGACTGAGCCAAGGCCAGAAGGGGAATTTCCTGATTCCTAGTATATTGTTCTAGTCGATTGTTATTCTGTCTTTGATCTCATTATCATCAATTACCATCACTAAAAGACCACATGGTAACTATTAGTAAGCCCAAGACACTGGCTTTTAGACAGATTAAAAACCAAGCCGTCGAGTTGATTCTGAATCATAGTGACCCTATATGACAGAGGAGAATTGCCCCATAGGGTTTCCAAGGAGCGGCTGGTGGATTCGAACTGATGACCTTTTGGTTAGCAGCCATAGCTCTTAACCACTGCAACACCAGGGCTCCTTGATTATTAACAGGGAAAGTCACAACAATGAGCACCACAAAGTCAGTATTTTTTAACCTTTGAAAATAATATAAACCTTTCTACTCAATAACTATCTTGCATTGATAAATTCTTAGCAAACACACTGACATTTATTCAGAACCAGCACCTAATCTGCAAGAGTCAGGAAAGTAGAAAGACTAAAAATGTCTCTGTGGAGTATAAAGGGTATTTTCTAGCCCCATTAAAATTTTTTTTTTCACATAAAATCTACAATTCAGATTTCTATTAACATAAACTAGTCTCTCCCCAAAAAGCTCAAACTAAGGAAGAACTTTCGTATTATTGATTATCCTATAAACACTTAAACTGAATATATTGCAAACCAAACTCATTTCTTCTCGCTACTCCTTGTGCTCTATTCCTTACCTTTTTAGGAATGCTGTTACCTTTCATCCAGTTGCCTAATCCTAAAACCTGAACTCCTCAGGTTCCCTTGGTCCCTTCCCCACCCCCACCTTAGTCAACTGGTCACCAACTTATGTCAGTTCTGTATCTTTTAATTTTTCAAATCATCCCTCTCCTCTACCATCACTGTCACTTCTTGTTTCAGTTTTTTTTTTAAACAATGAAGAATTTCTTTAATATTTTCCTTTAAACTAAATATTCTTTTTTTATTGTTGTAAATATATATATAACACAATGTTTGTAAATATATATATAACACAATGTTTGCCAATTCAACATTTTTCAGGTGTACAATTTAGTGATAGTGATTACATTGATCATGCTGTGCAATCACCACCCATAATCATTGCCAAATTTCCCATTACCATAAACAAACACTCACTAAACAAAAACTCCTCCTTTTCCCCTCCCTCCTGCCCCTGGTAACTACTAATAAACTTTGGTCTCTATACATTTGTCTATTCTTATTACTTCATATAAGTGAGAGCATAAATCTTAGTCCTTTTGTGACTGATTTATTTCACTGATCATACAGTTTTTGAGGTTCATCCATGTTGTACCATGGAGGATCAGGACTTCATTTCTCTTTCTAGCTAAGCAGTATTCCATTGTATGTATATACCACATTTTGTTTATCCATTCACCCCTTGATGGACACTGGGGTTGTTTCTACCTTTCGGCCACTGTGAATAGTGCTGCAATGTACATTAGTGTACATGTGTCTACTTCTGTTGCTGCTTTCAGGCCTCTTGAGCATATACCTAGGAGTGGAATTTTGGGTTATATGGTAATTCTATGTTTAACTTTTTTTTTTTTTAATTGTTGTAGTTTAAATGAAACTTACTTTACATTTCAAGTTAGTCTCCCATACAAAATGTTATACATATATTGTTATTTGATCCTAATTGCTCACCCCATTCTGCGAAAGCACACACCTCCTTTCCACCCCTGACTCCCCATGTCCATTCAACCAGCTCCCAACCCTCTCTGCCTGCCCATCTCACCTCTGGACAGAAGCTGCCCCTTTGGTCTCTTGTATCTACTTGACTAAGAGGCACACTCTTCACGAGTATCACTTTATGTCCCACAGTCCAGTCCAATCCCTGTCTGAAGAGTTGGCCTCAGGAATTGTTTTAGTTCTGGGCTGACAGAGAATCCAGGGGCCATGCTTTCCGGGGTATCTCCAGTCTCAGTCAGACCATTAAGCCTGGTCTTATTAGAAATTGAATTCTGCACCCCATCTTTCTGCTGCTCCATCAGGGACTCTCTGCTGTGTTCCCTGGCAGGGTGGTCGCTGGTGGCAGCCAGACACCATCTAGTTCTTCTGGTCTCAGGCTGATGCAGTCTCCGGTTTATGTGGCCCTTTCTGTCTCTTGCGCTAATACTTTCCTTGTGTCTTTGGTGTTCTTCAATCTCCTTTACTCCAGGTGGTTGGGACCAACTGATGC